AACATAATATTATCTATGTGTTTTCAGACTTTGAGTAAAGAGATCTCAATAATGATCTGGTTAAACATTTTAAAACTATTTTAGAATTCTATTAATTTGTAAAATTCAAAAATAGTTAATTATTAAAGTAAACAGAGAATTAGTAAGATTTTTTCATTTAAAATTTATAAAAGTATGGTTAAAAAAACTTTGTTTTGTTAGCTAAAAATAGAATCATAGATGTTATACTAAAAAATTAATATTTAACAGAAAATACAATATTATAAACAATAAGAAATTTTGTAGTTTTTTGTGTAGTAAATAAAAATTAACAACTACAGTAATTTGAAAAAGTGCAGTAATTTCTTTAAATTCAAAATAAAATATATTAGATAATACTATCGATTCTTTTGTACCTTTTATTCTTGAAACTATAACACACTATCAGTTACTGGTCACAGAGAAAGCTAATAATGCAAAGCAAGAAATCAGCTTGGCAGAACAAGGTCCAATTCATAAATGGTGTATACGTATTAATTCCTTGCTGCAGTCCAAAGTTAGTGGTGCGAAATGGGCTGGGGTTTCTTTTGTGAAAATTTCTATCCAACAATCTGAGACACTGTTTACTCGGAACTTACAATCATGGTCCTCTGCTTTATTAACTTTGCTCACGGTTAGTTATTGTTGAAAGAAAAGGCCTCTACTCTTTATTCAGTTATTAATCTCCATGTTATTCTCAGCGACCGGAATCAACTCTTATTTTGTCCGATGTCATTTTGACACTTTCTAATATATTTGAAAAAACAATTAACAAACCTGAGTTACAAAGGGAGGTAACTTCACACCAACTTCCTCGTTTTAATACGACACTCTTAAATTTATCTGAAAATAAAGAACTTTTGGTAAATATTATCTGTTAACTAAAAAAAATTTTATGTAGTCACATCACTTTAACTTTTTAATTTCTTCCTTACAGCCCACAATATTTGATGCATTATCCCAGTCATGCATGCAGTTTCCAACCATATTTCGTCCATTTTTTGAAAATACACAAAAATTATGTCTTAGTGTCCTGGATGGAACTTTTGATCATGGATCATCTGTCGTCCAATCTGCTGCTAATTGTCTTGCGAGTATAACAAATACAGGTGGCAAAACCAACTCATTGGCTCATTGGAAGTCAATTTCATTAAGATTAATTGGATCATTAAATTTCCTGTTGGATCGATTATTTGATACGATTGATGAAGGTGCGAATAAAAAATATTTTAATATTTCCGACTGATGCTATTTACTTGAATTAATTTGGCTTTGATGATAAATGTTAGAAAAGCATGCATCAAATAATCAGCCTCAATTTGAGTTCCCTCCAGTTCCTGAAGATTACATTATTGCCTTTCCAATTTTGTTTTCGAGATTCCAATGTTTATGTGAATGTATTATCTCCTTAATGAGGTACGAACAACCAAGAATAACAATGTCGTTAATAATCGTTGTCTGCAAGTTCTTAATATAAAGCTCTTATAGTTTGCCGACATCTACACCAGTTCATGTTCCAATGAATCAGTTCCTTGATCTCCTCTGCAGAGTATATAATGTTTGTGATGGTTCATTTGCAAGTGTTTATTTCTATAATTTAAAATCAGATATAGTCTATAATTTGCCCCCAGGGTGATATCACCTATTTTCTCTATTTCTCAAAAATGGCCTAGATAATTGGTGTCTTATGTAATAAATAAAAATGTTCAGCATCTGAAAAAACCTTATCCTATCTAATTCTAGAAGTGACATCACCCAGGGGCAAATTAGTTTTAATGGGCACAATATAATCTATGCAAAAATTTTCCTTTTTTGGACAGATTGTAAACAAAGATAAAGAGGAATTTTATACGCTTATGCTAGGTGTGCAGTCGTTATATACGCATAGCAATAAAGTTCTTTCAAGTCTAATTATTTGGTGAGTTTATTCTTAGTGAATTGTGTAAGCAATGCAATAATTTTTTTATTAAGACGTATTTAATTTAGTGCAGGAGAATATTTTACGCGTCATTTGCGTTTAATATCAAATATAGTGTTGAAATTATTAGAACAATCCAAAGATAAATGGTAGCTCTATTATTATTATTATTTTACAATAAATTAAATAAATAAATATTTATATTTATTTATTTTTACCACAAATGTTTTATTTATTATATTTACAGGCTATTGCGCAATTCCACATATCGATTGACTTCCCTTTGTATACAAAAATATGGGATTGGTTTTATACATTTTATATCATCATCTCTACTGGCGTCCATTATTGATGATATTAGAATAAAGCAGAAACTACAGCGCGATGTACTAGCAGATATAATACCCAGTGCCGGAAAGGTATGTAGGTATCTGTACGTATTCGTGATTACCAAATATATACATGCATTTACTATTTTCATTTTATAACTGTTATTTTAGAAAGGAAGCAAGAACAAGAAACGACAGGTTACAAATTCGGATGAGCTTATTAACTCTGGCATTCAAGAATCCAATAGCGTGAATATTGATGTACAAATCAGTGCCCTAGAAGGTTTGCAAATTTATTTCATAGATTTGCTACAATTAACATCTCATCCGCCGTCAATTAATATAAACTAAATTTAAAAATTAAAATCTTATTTCGTTATTAATTAATATAAATTAAAATTTTCAGTTTTGAAAACTTTGTTTACAGTCGGTGGCTCCTCGATACCTTGTAATTCTCGCATCACTATCGATAATATCATTATGTCACGAATTTTAGCACCAATTTCCCAATTTACAAACTCTTCTAGTATAACTCGGAACGAGAGCGACATCCAGCTAAAGTTATATGAATGTTTACTTGCTTCAATTGTTGCTCCATCAGTGTTTCAATCTACAATACTTCCTCATGCCCTGCGTATTTTCTCATCTGGTCTAAATGCGCAATCACGACTGGTAATACATTTCTTTTTTCATAAAAGATTCAATAATATTCTAATTGCTTAACACACTTAATACTTTCATAATGTTTAATAGTTGCAATCATTTAGCACCCAGGCATTAGCAATATGCGACCTTATATTTCATAGTCGTTTGCCACCGCTTCAAAGATTACCGAATGATTTGATATCATCTGACAAAAATTATAACACAGAAACTAATGATTCGATGTCTATAGTTGCTCCTATCAAAACAGCATCACCTATAGTCTCTCCTATACAAACAACATCGCCTATAGTTTCTCCTATTAAAACAGCATCGCCCATAGTTTCTCCTATCCAAACAGCATCGCCCATAGTCGCTCCTATCCAAACAACATCGCCTATAGTCCTGCCTATCCAAACAGCATCGCCCATAGTCGCTCCTATCCAAACAACATCGCCTATAGTCGCGCCTATCCAAACAGCATCATCTATTATGATTCCTACTAAAACAGAACCTTCCAATAATAGTCTCACATCAGTCGCAAGTTACGACAAAAACCTTTTACCGCCAAAAAACATTATAACCTTGTCTGAAAAAAATGATAACGTTATTGTTACAGAAACTAACTATTCGATATACTTATCTGATAAAAATGATAATTCAAACATGAAAAGGGCGCGTTCGGATGATATTTCGGATCTTGATGTTGAAGACCAGACTCGTATGCATAAGCTGTTTCGGGAAGATTATAATGATTCTGATGACGACGAGGATGAAGAAATGCCTGAGATTGTGCCGGATAGTCCAGACTCAGATTACGAAAGTTCAGACGGATAAGTTATTATAAACTAGATGCATGACAATAAAGTTGCTTATTATAAGCTTCTTAAAAGTCATATTTGAAGTTATTTTTTGTGTGGCCCTATTTTAATTAATCAAGAAATGCTTTAAGGATTAGATCGATCAAAAACGAAACTTTTGCACCCAAAATTCCACTGTCACGTGAGGATAGATAGTATTATCCAATAGAGTCTCACTTTAATGTAACATAATACGATTAAAAAAAACATTTGTTTTTCAGAAATTGCTTATTTCTCAAAAAAATTTGCATAAAAAACGACCTGTTCTTTAACAAAAAAAAAATTCTTGAGCAATTTTACTACCTACTTTGCTAACACAATCCTATTGTAAGCGTTTACCCTAATTAAACGAACTTAAAGATTTTTGGTGCATACGTAATAATGAAATTTGCTGGGGAAGATTATTTTTTTCGAAAATAATTTTCATGTTTTACAACCCCCAAAATTAAGGGGTTTGGCCAACCAGTTGGGGTGGATTTAGACCAATAAACTCATTATCGTTATATTATAAAATTACGCATGTACGTAGGGCTGTTAAAAGTCCGATCCTTTCGGTCCGGACTCCTTAAATAGTGACTTCGATTGAGTAACATAGTCATGCCACAAAAATTTGTCGGTTACGTCTAGCGATGCCAACTTAATTAAATTAATTTGGTGATTTTAAAAGCTAAAACTAAAACAATTTTTGTTTTGGCAATTTTAAAAGTTAAAATTATGCAAAAAACGATAAATAATTGTTTGCATTATAAATGCTAAAATATAAATTATATTTAATTCGTAGCTAACAGAGTAAATGTACAGTACTATACAGATAAATTACATATTAACTTTAAATATTATTATAAATGCTATATATTTAAATATGCCGATACACTACTATATTATAATAAATATTTAAATTGCTACCGCTATATACAATTATCGTTAATAATTTATATTATTTATAAATATAACAATAAATTCTATTCATTGTTCATTTCAAACATCCGATTCACCAAATCTTCTGTGCTATAATCCATATTCCTAAGCAAATTATGATTTTCTACAAGATTACTATCTGTTGGTGTATTAATTAGCAATTGACTATCTGAGCAAAACGATGGATTAGTAATATCTATGGTTTCCGAAATCATAAGCGTATTATTAATTGATTCATTAACTTGATCCTCTAATGTTTCTAATGGCAAATTTTCATGATCAAATTGAAATAAAAATTCGTCAATGCTTGGAATTATTGCATCATTTACTGAATCTCTTAGTTCTTGTTGGGTTAAATCATTTTTATAATGAGTTAATTTCTTTTTTATGTTCATTAAATAGTAAGACCGAATCTTTGCCATGGATTCAATATGATGAACATCAAGATTATGTTGGCGATCTCCATAAAACCATCCCAAAATAGAAAAGTTCCTTTCGCATTCTGCTTGAGAAGGCATAATTGAAAATATTTTAATTGCAAGATCAATTAAGAGATATTCATCATATTCATCTTCGTCAAATGTAAGCCACCAACTAAGAGAAGTTTCACTTCCATTTTTGTATTCCATATCGAAAGGATCTTCATTTTGTTTATATTTCCTAAGATTGGCTAACAGATTTGAACAAGACAACTCATCATATCCTAATGCTTTCCAGTATTTAGCTGCAATTTCACAAATTCTTCTGAATACTCTTCTTTTTAATCCTAATCCACAATAGCCAGGATGTAAAAAATATCCAAGTAAATAGACATCATGATCAAACTCTTTATAACGATGATTAAATATATTAATGGCATCTATTTTTAATTCATTGTTATTAGATATTTGATTAATTGCAGCCGCCAATTTAATATATCCAATACGTAAAGCAATCTGACATCGTTGCTGTTTTCGATTCCACAATATGAATAGTTTCTTTAATTGGTTTGAAAATTTTTGAAACTACTTTACAAATTTGGAAAAAACTTTCATCGTCAATATGATTGAATATAATTTGATTAGTTATTATATTTGGATGTTCATGTTTAATCTACATATACATATTATAATAAATAAATTTAGTAAATAAATTAATTATAGTACTACATATATATTAATATATCACGATGTTAATATAAATTTAAATAATTACCTAATCAAATATAGGGCGTACTCGTAATATTGAATCTGACATATTCCAGAGAGAACACCAACGGGTCTTAGTATATGATTTACCTTTAATTTGCAATTTTGCCAATCCTTCTTTTAATAGTGCATTTGCGCAATGATTCATATGAAAAAATTTAATTATTTCATTGTCATAAGAAATAAATTTGTCTATATATGAAATTTTTACTAAATCCGTAGCAATTAGATTTAGTGAATGAGCTGCGCAACGGATGTTTAAAATATGTGGATATTTTTGATTAATAATTTGATGTGCAACTCTAACATTGCTGCCACCATCCGTTACGATTCCTGCAAATTTATTTATTCCAATAGTTTTGATAATAGTTTCAATTTCATTTGTTATAAACACTCCCGTTTGAGACATTTTTGAATAGTCCCTAAGTATAACAAGATATTCACGACGATCTGTTGTTGAAATTATAAAATTGTAAAGTGAATTTCTATTCGGCAAAGACCATCCATCAAGTGCAAGAGTTAAATAGTTGCATTTTTCTAATTCAGAATTAATTTTAAGATTAATTCCCACAGTTTCTTGCTCTAATAATCTACTAGAAAGTGTCATATGGCCTGGTGGTGTATATGATGAATTAAGTCGTTTAAATAAATTAATTATAAATGGATTATTAATAATATCGAATGGAATTCCTGCTGTGATCCATGCTTTTAATACGTCTTTGTCTATCTCATTTTGTTCATGTATTGGCAATATTTCATCTAACTTGTTTATATTCAATTGATCTAATTTGGAATGTTTCATTCTTTTGTAATTAATAACTTTTTTAGAAAGTAATTCTTGCCAATATTCTTTAATATTCTTAGGAACTCCAGGACAAATATTAGCGAGATGAGCTTCCATTTCACTAGGACATCCACAACTCCAAGACTTTGGACAATGATAACAAGATGCACTCTGAGAACCAATGTTGCTACTAGTTATATAATACTCCCAAATTTGTTCTCTTGGTCTACCAACACTTTTACGCTTACAATTAATAAGTTGGTCTTGTTCCGTATTTATTAACGTATCTTCTTCAAAATATGTGTCAGCTTGTGATGATGAATTTGAATATAAATTTGATTCTTCGGTCATGTTAAAAGTAAGTTTAAGATAGATTTATTATATTCAAATTCAAAGATTTTTATTAATGTTATATTCAAATTCAAAGATTTATTATCATAATAACAAACTTTATTAAACTTTTTAATTAATTAAACTTTTTTATTACATCATAATTTAATCACATTTTAGAATTTATAATACAAAATTTAATTATCATGTCTTGCAATTTCAGTAATTATCATAAATAAAATATTTTTGAGCTAAAAACTATTTTGTTTATTAAAATTAATTAAGTTGGCATCGCTAGTTATGTCATTTCCGTGTTAATCGGTACTAAAACATCGATCCGATTCTAGATAGAATTTAACACGGAGATGACATAACTGACAAATTTTTGTGCATAACTATGGCTCAAACATAGTTTGATGTGGTCGGATTTGTATCACCGGGTTTTTATTAGATTTGGTAAAATTGATTTTCAAATT